CGATACTGTTGGTGTCGTAGCCTTGCCAGCTGAAGATTCTGTTTCAGAAAGGAGGAGGAAATTGGAGTTCCTTGAAATGAAAGAAGAACTCATCAAGGTTAAAAATGCTATCCAAAAAACACAAGGAGATTTGGTAAACATTGCGTGTTGATAAGGTTGTTAGGTCACCAAACTTCTGATTTCTAATTTTTCTTTTTTTCTTTTTTCAGATTCATTTTAGTCGCAATATATAGAAAAATTGTTGTAGTAAGAATTTTTTTACCTTTATAAGAAGTATCTGGGGTTGGTAACCTTTATTGGTATATCTATATATATATATATATATGAGATAGATTGGTATTTTTACATGTTTAAATTAATTTGTTAATTTTATGTAATTTTTTTATAAAAAAAAATTGTTAAGTGCATGCAATTGATATTTTTGTTGTAACAAATGCATATATAATTTTTATAATAAATAATTATTTGCGATAAATGTCATTGAAAACTATTTGCGACGGTGACAAGATGGTCGCAAAAAAACACATTAGCATTTTTTTCTTTGTTATTTATGACGGCGAAATAGCGGTCGTCATATGTAGTTTAAGCGGTCGCAGATAATTTGCGACCGTTGCTTTGCCGTCGCAAAAACTATTTGCTACCCCCACATTCATGACCTTCATTTGCCGTCGCATGAGCCGTCACAAAAAGTCTTTTACGACTGTATTTCTATTATTTGCGATGGCTTGTAGCGATCACAAAAAGTACTTTTTTTAGTATTGTGAGATTGGCCCCCAAATTAATCGGTTCAATAAATCGAATAACGAGTTATCAAAAAGAAATATTTATTAATTAGAGAAATATTAGCATGCTTGAGGAGCAAAGCTGTCCAGTTCAATAATTTAATCTACTTATTAACTAGGGAAGTATTTAAATGATTTTTTTGGCGGCTATGACTGTCAATTTTGAAATTAACCCATGTTGTTGGAAAATTCCAATATCCTAGGGACAGTGGGAGCAATGTGCCTACTAATAGATTACTCCATTAGAGAAGAATACTCTACATTCTTA